GTCACATGATACTGGAATCCATCTTAATCCTTGTACTTTTCCATTGATGAGGCAGGGGTGGGGACAAGCACAGACAAAAGATTCCTGCCTTGTGCAAAAGCTATAAAAGGGGGTGTAGCAGGACAAAAGAGGCTGCCAGTCATGAGAAAACCCCTGCTTACCACCTGAGATGTCTGCTCGAACTAACAAGGACCATACCGGGGAAAGGATTGGGTCCAGATTAGGAAGGAGTCTAGTCTGTGAAAGAAGCTTATTGGAACATCTCTGAGGGTGAGCCCCCACCCAGTAACCTAGGAAAATTAAATGCTCCTCTGAGAGGCAATACTTCCCCACTCACAAGCACAGAGTCTGAGTGTAGAAAGGTTTCAGAGTAACAGCCGTCTTAGTCTGTATTCGCAAAAAGAAAAGGAGTACTTGTGGCACCTTAGAGACTAACCAATTTATTTGAACATAAGCTTTCGTGAGCTACAGCTCACTTCGTCGGATGCATACTGTGGAAAATACCTTTTGGTACGATGTCCATCTGTTTGCATTTGGAAAGGAATCATAGAATCATAGAATATAAGGGTTGGAAGGGACCCCAGAAGGTCATCTAGTCCAACCCCCTGCTCGAAGCAGGACCAAATCCCAGTTAAATCATCCCAGCCAGGGCTTTGTCAAGCCTGACCTTAAAAACCTCTAAGGAAGGAGATTCTACCACCTCCCTAGGTGGTAGAATGATGTCTGTCTGTATCTGCACAAGTTTTTTCATGCAGTTGATAGATTTCCACTCCATACGGCTAAATTTCCACAGTATGCATCCGATGAAGTGAGCTGTAGCTCACAAAAGCTTATGTTCAAATAAATTGGTTAGTCTCTAAGGTGCCACAAGTACTCCTTTTCTTTTTGCAAATACAGACTAACACGGCTGTTACTCTGAAATAAAACTCTTGTGTTGCTAACCTGTCAGTGTCTTGTTCACTATAATAAAAGGAACTGAATTCACTTACATCTTTCAGATGCTGCAGATAGTAAACAATGAAATAACTCTGAGAAGTATCAAAATTATTTTGGTACTGTTTTTCAGCATATTGCAGGCTTTATACTGTGGGAATGCCTGTTATATTTGTGTTCTTTGTCTTGATTCTGAGGACCAGAATCTGCTGTCTGTTATATCAGTGTAAATCCAGAGTAATTCTAGTGGTAAATTAAATTACTCTGGATTTACACCCATGTAATTGGTCAGAATTTGGCCCCATTTTTATTCTTTTAACAGTGTGGCTGGCTCATCAGAAAGTAACTTAGTGTTATTACTACTAAGGTATTATCCATATCTAAATGTGAGTCAAGCTATAAGTCAGCATGAGCTATAATAAGAGAGAAAAAAACAAGGGCCTGTTTTTTCTCCCACACTGCTGTAAATCAGAAGTAACTCCATTGAAATTAATGGGATTACACCAATGTAAAATGTAAGTGAGAGCAGAATCAGGCCCCCAAGTCTATAAGAAGATCCAAGGCTTGGAGATGCAGGTGGAAACAATGGTTGAGTTTCTAAGGGGATTGGGGCAGATGATGGAGTGAAGGCCAAAGGAGGCTGAAGGGAAAAGTTAAGACTTGCAGATGCAAGCTGGACTGAAGAACTCTGAGGGGAAACTGTTGGATAAGGAAAGTGGCCAGTGGAAGCATGTGACTACGAGAACCAGGCAGAGGAAAAGACCAGCTAGTGAAGGAGAAATAGAGCTCAGGAACAGGTTTGCTGAGTTGGAAAATGAAGAAGGGACACAGCAGGCAGTAACTGAAGGTGGGAGGGCAAGGAAAAAGAAAAGAGCAGCTAGTCTTATAAGAAGAGAAGAGCCAATGGAGATACCCAGAGTTCAGAACCCCAGGAGAATACAGGATGACTCAGAAGATTGCAAGAGAGAACAAAAGCCAAGAGGACTTGCAGGCAGATAAAACAGGAGGAAGGCAAGAGAATAACACCTTCACCAGGAAAAACAGGTCTATGTGATTAGTGACTCCCTACTAAGAAAAACAGACAGGCTTGTCACCAGAGCTGATCCAGAGAACAGAAGGGTGTGTGTGCTGTCTTCCACGAGCTAAGATACAGGATGTGGACCTGAGGCTGAAGAGGATCCTAATGGGAGCAGGAAAGAATCCACTGATTGTCCTTCATGTGAGAACAAATGATACAGCTAGATTCTCATTAGAACATATCAAGGGAGACTATGCCAGGCTGAGAACACACTTAAGGAAATGGAGGCTCAGTGGGATTCTCCCTGTGCCTAGAGGAAGAGAACAAAAGCAAGACAAGATGATCATCAACAGATGGCTCAGGCAGTGGTGCTATAAGAAAGGCTTTGGGATGTTTGACCACTGGAAGGCATTCATGGACAGTGGACTGTTATCATGGGATGGACTCCACCTGAGAAGAGAAACAGACTTCTGGGATGGAGGTTAGCACAACTAATTAAAGGAGCTTTAAACAAAGAACTCAGGGGAAACGGGAAATGCTCATGTAATCCATACCTGATTTTAACATTGAGAAGGAGCTAAATCAAGTAAGAAAGGATACAGCAATAGGTACGATAATGGACATTAAGAGGAAAGATCCTGCCAATAACAGTGAAGATAACGATCAGGTAGGCAATACTGGCAGAATGACTACCCAATTGGGAGAGGAATGTAGGCAAGGCCAAGGAGCAACAATTAAGATGTTTGTACAGGAATGAAAGGAGCCTGGGTAACAAAAAGGAGGAACTAATAGTACTGATGCAAGAAGTGAAACCAGGTATAATAGGGATAACAGAAATAGTAGAGTAATAGTCATGACTGGAGTACAGATATTGAAGGGTATGTGATAGTCAGGAAAGACAGAAATACAGGCAAAGATAGTGGAGTGGTATTGTATATTAACCATGAGGTAGATTGTAAAGAAATTATAAGGGGTGGACTGGATAAGACAGTCTGTTTGGGTCAAAATCACTTTGGAAAAGAAAGGTACTAGAGGTTCCTGTGGATATTCCTTGGAGTATGCTATAGACCCCCAGCATCCAATCTGGGTATGGATAGAGACCTCTTTAATATTTTTAATTAAATAAATTCTACTGGGAATTGTGTGATTATAGGATACTTTAACTTCCCACATACAGATTGGAGGACAAGTGCTACTAATAATAGTAGGGCCCAGATTTTCCGGGATGTGATAGCTGACAGATTTCTTCACCAAATACTTGCTGAACCAACAACAGGTGATGCCATTTTAGATTTGGTATTGATGAGTAGTGAGTGTGATGTTGTACCCCATAATGTTTTATGGAAATATGCTTATTAAAGGTGCTTAGGAAATATGCTTATGAAATATGACATAACTGGAATATATTTTATGCTAGACATGCCATGTAACATATCGCTGCAAAGGTTATGATCTACTGGATATATTCATCCTATTTGTATGCATGTATCATTTTTGTATTCAAAGTTATGAATATGGGCTATGTACTAGTTCAATTTTAAGTAGCCTCACTGAAGCAGTTGGTCAGCTTCCTGAGAAAAGCAGTTGGTCAGCTTCTCAGTAAGTGCCTAATCAAGAAACACTTAAGCTAACAATGAACTTGGAGACGCCAATCCACATCTGAGCTTTCCCGGGAACATGGCCTGGCTGGTAAGGAACTCAGTCAAGCATGGACATGTGACTTGCCCATGTGACTCCAAAACTCCATCTTGGAGCTGGATTCTGCATAGGAGACAGGAGGGGGTCTCCACCCACAAGAGAAAGTCTATTTAAGCCCCTAGGAGACCCCTCCATTTTGTTTTCAGCTGGCTCAAGAGGTAGCCTCTCCACCCCCAACGGATACCTGAAAGAAACTGGAACAAAGGACAGTAACCACAGGAGTGTGAATGATTGCTGGACCCAGACTAGAAGGAGACTAGTCTGTAAAAGAAGCTTACTGGAACATCTCTGAGGGTGAGATTTCATCTGTAATCGCTTTCTTACTGTATTAGACATGGACTTGAGTGTTTTATTTTATTTTGCTTGGTAATTCACTTTGTTCTGTCTGTTATTACTTGGAACCACTTAAGTCCTACTTTTTGTATTTAATAAAACCACTTTTTACTTATTTAACCCAGAGTATGTATTAACACCTGGGGGGGAGGGGGCAAACAGTTGTGCATACTTCTCTATCAGTGTTATAGAGGACAGAAAATTTATGAGTTTACCCTGTATAAGCTTTACACAGGGTAAAACGGATTTATTTGGGGTTTGGACCCCATTGGGAGCTGGGCATCTGAGTGTTGGAGACAAGCACACTTTTTAAGCTGTTTTCAGTTAAGCATGCAGCTTGTGTGGGATGTGGTTCAGACCTGGGGCTGTGGTTGTAGCAGGCAAGCATGTCTGGCACAACCAGGCAGGGTTCTGAAGTCCCAAGCTGCCAAGGAAAACAGGCTCAGAGGCAGTCTTGGCACATCAGATGGCAGTCCCAAGTGGGTTTCTATGATCCAACCTGTCACAGTGAGGACCTCCTAGAAGAACTGTAAAGGACAACCGTGGTTTGAGTGATCATGAGCTAATTCAGTTTAAACTAAATGGAAGGATAAATAAAAACAGATCTGCATTCTTCCTGTTTATATTGGTATTTGATGTTTCCAGCTCTCATGCCCACACCTCTGAAAATCTCTGCCAATGCAAACCCAGTTTATTTGTTGGCAAAGGCCGTATTTGAATATCTTCCTTTTCCGAAGGCTGTAATGCCTGTCTCTTAGCCAGCAATATGAACCAAGTAAGACTCTCATGATTGCCTCTGATGGTGTAATTCAATTGTCAGATGTGCATGTGCAACACCCACTGGAGTTAATAGGAACTGCAGCCATATCTCTGAAGGCAGAATGTGGCCCCCCAGGAAACAACTGTCTTCCTTGCTTCCAGAGGTCCCAAAATCTTATTCATTTCATTGGCAATGGGACTCATATGATGATTCCCTCCCTCCCCGCATAAAGACTGAAGCATAAAGATGGACAAAAGAAAAACTTGGAACTATTCAATACAAGGAAATATATAAACATACTTTCACAATATTCATTAACTAAATAGGCCAAGTTTGTTCTACACTGAATATACCTTCCCAGTTAAGACACTCTTGTATTAAAAGGGGATACTAATTTACATTTGATGGCAAAAAGAAGTATCAGCTCTATTTCTGAGTGATCAGTGTTTACTATAATTCATACAAATAACTATAACGATGCTTCGGTTGAATGTTGTTAGAGCTCCCTCAATTGCTTTACAGAAGAACTACAAGAAAACATGTTCCATTATCTTTGCATCATCATCAAATGGGGAAATCTGAACCACTCCTTCCTGTGAGGTAAGGATCGAGAGGATTTCTTGAGACAATTTTTCATGCTTATTTTCTGCACATGTATCCGCGATCTTCTTCCAACCTTCCAAGGTACAGACCGTATCATTTAAAATAACTTGTTCCAGTGCATCTGATGAAGAAAAAAATATCATGTAGTGGCACAGTATTTGCCCTCAATCAGTTTCTGCTTTGCTCATATTAAAACAAAGAACAAAAAGAGGCATGATCTTAGGGGATAATATGACTACAGATCAATAATTCTTTTTCCAGTTGGATAAATTCTAAGGGTAAGGACCAAATAAAGAGAAAACTGATCAAAAATACAACAGAAAAGTAGTGTTTACTTTATTTATAAAGATTAAAAGCCACATCCTCCCACAGCACTCAAAATCATGTCTGAAACCCCATGACCAGCAGAAAAACTGGAGAATGTGTAGCCCAATTCTGCCTTTTATTTTTATATAAAGTTAATGGATGTTTTGCTATTGACTTCAGTGGGAGTAGGATAAGGCCATCAGTTGGGAGTAATCATCACTGCAAGTGGAAAAAACAAATGCGCCAAGTTGCCAAATTACATGGCCAAGAAAGGTGCTTAACTCTAGAAGAAAATACAGGAATTTGCAGCAGACCCTACCAAAAGTGCTAATTTGAACACAGGACTGAGCAAGGCAGGCTGTAGCACATGGCAAAAGTAACTTTTTTGATCTCAAAGGGAGTACCATAAATACTGAGATTGCAGAATTGGACCCATTCTCAACAGAAGGTGCTTAAAGAAAAGGAGTACTTGTGGCACCTTAGAGACTAACCAATTTATTTGAGCATGAGCTTTCGTGAGCTACAGCTCACTTATTTTAATCACTCTCCAGTATAGATTAAGGATAACAGGAGCATCAACGACACAATAATTTATGGACACAATAATTTTGCGGTTTGTTTTTTGGAAAGTATCAATGGAAAGGGAAAAGGGAAAAGATTAACTATGTGTTTTTAAATTAGCTGAATTAAATTTGTTAACACAATTAAATGATTGTGACCTCAATAACTTTGTTTTTATTCATTTTATTGCCATTTACAATGGAATTGCTTTGTAACTTCCCAGATACTGCAATGAAAATAGAGAAATGTGACATTTACATAACTTCACTATAAATGTCTGTTAATTATATCTTATTGTACTTACTCTTCTCACCCATGTTTATGTCCTCTAACAGTTGTAAACCATGCTCTTTGTGATCAGTATCAATGAGTGAGAGGATCGTAGCCCCAGTGGATAATAATGCTGGTTTCTCATTCCACTCTTGAGTTAGACAATGAATTAGCTCAATACTAGGACAGTTTTTCAGTAGGAATAAGTAATCATCTGAAAACAATCATCCAGGTCATTATACAGTTGTGGGTGTTCACACAAACACACAAGCATGATAACTCCAATTCTGATCTCACTGACCACGGTAAATCAGGTGAAAGTTCAAATAAGTTAGTGTAAAACTAGTATATGTGAGATCAGAATTTGGTCTCATTTATCTGGAAGAAAAGATAAACAGCACAATAATTAAATTCACAGATGATACTAACTAGGGAAGTGTTGCAAATATCAAAGAGGATAGAAATAATAAGAGAGACCTTGAAGTTGTTAGAAATATGGGCAAGAAATAAATTCAGACTGGAAAATGCAACCTAACAGAACAGAGGAATAATAATCTGAAGAAAGATATTAAATGGGAGAGAGATACTTGGAAAGCAGCACTGTTGAAAAGGGGCCTAGGGAACTGCAGAGTGCAAAAGTGATATGAACTTGCATTGCTATATGGCCACAGAGAGAAGCTAATGTGATTTTAGTTTGCTACACAGAGGTGTCACATCCCAGAACAGTGAAGTGACAGCCCCTCTCTCTATATAGCACTGGTGAGACAGCACCTATATTAGAATGCTGCAACAGTTATAGGCACCACAGCAGCAGATGCAGGTTGACATAACGGAGAGAAATCATTTAAAGAAAAATGACTGAGTGGATGGAGGAAATGGCATGAAGAAAAAATAAGATCCAAGTAGCACAATCCTGCAGCATGCTAAACATCTTCAGTATCTACTGCCTTTCCTGCATGACTGGGACCTAAATATGCATAGTTTGGCTAAATGACCGGACAGGATATGAATACTGTTGACAAGTATCTGAGGTTGTAAACACGGAGGGTGAAATTCTGGCCTCATTAAAGTCAATGATAAAATTTCCAGGACAAAGAAAAAATATTTACAGTGAGGCCTAATAGCCTAATTTTGATGGATCTATGATTCTGCTTAATCTGCGTATCTATTTTTTTGGAGAATTCACACTGACCAGTCCCGGGTACTATAAACATTAACTGCTGATGGTATGGTATCTGAGCAAATACATAATGTGTTCTGAAGTAAGAAGAGTTGACCAGATGGGATTTTTACATTTCTCTATTCAAGGTCTTGGGACAAGCTCAAAAGAACAACCAAGAGAGTTTAAATAGATAATTTTGCTATTTATTGAGGAACAGAATGTGCCCCAGATTCTTGTCAGTGTTAGGGCTGCTATTTTGCTGCTCTACTGTCTACACCAGTCCTAAAGCCACCTAACCACCTGCAAGAGGATCACCCCAGTGCAATGGATGCTTTGTTGCTGTAGAACTGGCCTAACTGCTCATATACTATCCCCATTCATGACTGTCAGTGTAAGGGATATACCTGGGGAAAGGGGGCATGACCAGGTCTTCCCTGCAGTTCAGCAATCCTTGACTGCCATGATGGCAGCATGGGGCTATTGCCAGCTAGTGTAAATTAGAACAGCATATAGGCTGCTCTAACTCACTCCAGGGAACCAGCCCACTACAGCCAGTTTAGGAATGGGGGGAGCACAAAGGTGCCATAAAGCCACCTTTGCACCCCTTTCCCCCCCACAAGTTGTGTTGTATACCCCTTGTGTGCAGCTGAGAATCAGGATCTATGCATCCAGTATGTGATGTAGTCTTTATGCTGCCTACTTCTTCAGCTAACATAATCAGACTAATCAACAGGACAAGATAATTTGAGGGTGCATCTGCATCTTGTTTACAAGGTAATAACTCTGAAGCTGAACGATCCACACTTCCAATACAAAGAAAAACCAATTTTAACTTTCAAATGATGTAATCACTAATACAGAAAATAAATAGATGCCTCAATTTATTTTAGGCCAGTAGCTTAACTTTTTAATTCTGTGGAACAACTTACAAAAGAGATCACCTCTGCTGAACCACATCCCTTTCTATAACCCACTCCTTCACCTTTCCTGCAGCATTCACTATCTTTTCTGAATGTGCCCATAGAACATATTTTCAGGATCAGTGCTCTGCAATATTACACCCTCTTTAGGGACATAAATATGGAACAATATGCCACTGCCTGTCAACATCCATGAATGATACTCAACTCAAAAATAAATAGTGAACAGGATTTTATCAGTATTAGCCACAATCAATGGGTTTGTTCAAGACAAAAAAAAGAGGTGGACCAAATATACATGCATGCCTGATGCTGAAGGAAATCCTATTTAATGTAATACGCTGGCAAAATTATTGACAAGATTAGCATCATCTTGAGGTTTTGACAATTTTCAATTTGAATTTGTGCAACCAACATTTAAAAATCTATCAACATTTTCATTAGTTTGCATTCACAAATCAGCATTCTTTGATCTTTCAGAACATATCTTCACTTCGTCCATCGTCTTTGTTTTTCCCACCCATTGCAATGTACAGAGGATGAATGTTCCGCTGTACAGCCATGTTGACAAAAAACAATTTTTGTGAAAGCTACACTGGAAAGTCATACTATAGGACTGTCCCATGTATTTTTCAAAAACATAATATCTGGATTACACAGGGGCAAAGTGATTTTTGAAAAAGTCTCTAGGCCAGATCAATAGCTGGTGTAAATCAACATAGTTTCATCTATAATCAGTGGAGCTATGCTGATTTACACTGGCTGAGAATCTGGAGTATAAACTTATATATTTTGAGCTATCAGTTAGAAATAAAAGCATTAAATTAAGTGCTGCATAATCCATAGATGCATCTTTTTTGTAAAGGTAAAAAACAGCAAGTGTACATCTAAATAGGCATGCAACTCCATGCGCTTTCAATACAAAGCTATAAGGAAATGTGATTGCATGAGAGCAGAAACATATGGATCGAAATCCTGACTACCCTGGCAAAACCCTTATTGACTTCACTGGGGCAAGGATTTCACCCCAGTGGGTATTGGACATGATTGTCTAGTTGTGTGTTCAACTGTGCTTTCCATCATAACTGATCAAGTGTCTTCACTTCCAAATATAGGCCCTAATCCTGCTAAAATTTAGGCACATGCTTAGTTTTACTCGTTCTGTGTGTCTAAGTGCCTGCAGAATCAGGACTTCAGTCAATATATTTGGATGCAGAATTAATCCAATTATGGTTTGACAAAAGAGAAAAGTACTTACTTCTAAAATGTAGTTATCTAAAATACAGAGCTGTAGTAATACCCAGGTTCCTAGCATGAGAGTGGTGAGGGGGTTTTCTATAGTTTAACTGCTCAATATTGGCGCCAGCACAGAACTTCCAAATTGGAAATGTACATAATCTGGAATCAGATGCATATATTTTCATAGAGTCATAGACTTTAAGGTCAGAAGGGACCATTATGATCCTCTAGTCTGACCTCCTGCACAACGCAGGCCACAGAATCTTACTCACCCACTCCTGTAATAAACCCCTAACCTATGTCTGAGCTACTGAAGTCCTCAATTCAAGGTGCAGAGAATCCTCCAGCAAGTGACCCCTGCCCCACACTGCAGAGGAAGGCAAAAAAACCCCAGGGCCTCTGCCAAATTGCCCTGGAAGAAAATTCCTTCCCAACCCCAAATATGGCTATCAGCTAAAAACCCTGAGCATGTGGGCAAAACTCACCAGCCAGACACCCAGGAAAGAATTCTCTGTAGTCACTCAGATCCCATCCCATCACAGGCCATTGGTCATATTTACCGCTAATAGTCAAAGATCAATTAATTGCCAAAGTTAGGCTATTCCATCATACCATCCCCTCCATAAACTTATCAAGCTTAGTCTTGAAGCCAGATATGTCTTTTGCCCCCACTGCTTCCCTTGGAAGGCTCTTCCAGAACTTCACTCCTCTAATGGTTAGAAACCCTTTGTCTAATTTCAAGTCTAAATTTCCTGATGGCCAGTTTATATCCATTAGTACCAATGTTGACACAAGAACAGAGCTTAAATAATTCCTCTCCCTCCCTAGTATTTAACCCTCTGATATATTTATAGAGAGCAATCATATCTCCCCTCAGCCTTCTTTTGGTTAGGCTAAACAAGCCAAGCTCTTTGAGTCTCCTTTCATTAGACAGATTTTCCATTCCTCGGATCATTCTAGTAGCCCTTTTCTGTACCTGTTCCACTTTGAACTCATCCTCCTCCACTAGAGGAGGTTTTGGAATTAATTGAAAAATTTAACAGTAACAAGTCACCGGGACCAGATGGCATTCACCCAAGAGTTGCGAAAGAACTCAAATGTGAAATTGCGGAACTATTAACTATGGTTTGTAACCTGTCCTTTAAATCAGCTATTGTACCCAATGACTGGAAGATAGCTAATGTAACACCAATATTTAAGAAGGGCTCTAGAGGTGATCCTGGCAATTACAGACCGGTAAGTGGAGATCATGTCTTACTAATCCATTAGAGTTCTTTGAGGGGGTCAACAAACATGTGGACAAGAGGGATCCAGTGGACATAGTATACTTAGATTTCCAGAAAGCCTTTGACAAGGTCCCTCACCAAAGGCTCTTATGTAAGTTAAGTTGTCATGGGATGAGAGGGAAGATCCTTTCATGGACTGAGAACTGGTTAAAAGACAGGGAACAAAGGGTAGGAATAAATGGTAAATTTTCAGAATGGAGAGGGGTAACTAGTGGTGTTCCCCAAGGGTCAGTCCTAGGACCAATCCTATTCAACTTATTCATAAATGATCTGGAGAAAGGGGTAAACAGTAAGATGGCAAAGTTTGCAGATGATACTAAACTGCTCAAGATAGTTAAGGCCAAAGCAGACTGTGAAGAACTTCAAAAAGATCTCACAAAACTAAGTGATTGGGCAACAAAATGGCAAATGAAATTTAATGTGGATAAATGAAAAGTAATGCACATTGGAAAAAATAACCACAACTATATATGATGGGGGCTCATTTAACTACAACTAATCAGGAAAGAGATCTTAGAGTCATCGTGTCTAGTTCTCTGAAGACGTCCACGCAGTGTGCAGCGGCAGTCAAAAAAGCAAACAGGATGTTAGGAATCATTAAAAAAAG